AAAACTAGATCTGATGCATTAACAAAGAACGCTTTAAGTCGATCCCAAACTTTACTAGTTTCTCTGAGGATGCATGAAATTCGAAACATTTTCCACTTATAGAACGCTCCGTGCACTAGAAAATTTATGTGAATGCGCCTCTCCAACTTTCCGGATATTGAAGCAATGAAATCTTGAAAATTTCACACACTATACGCTACGAAAAGCATCCAAACTTGAAGGAAATCTGGAAAAAAGACTGCAATCTGAAGAAATAATTGGTAATAAAAAGTTTGCAAAAAATCCCGAAAGAAGATGATCCCCGTGAGGATGGTTCAAAATCGAACTATTTTTCGTTCATAGAACAGACTTTGCTCTACAAATCGCAAAGAAAATTAACGCCAGCGCTTTGCAAGTGCCTGAGGAAATAAATGTGAAACTACGACCTGCTCAAATATTCGGAAAAACCACAATCATATTTGAAAAATCCTTGAAAATACCCTGATGACCAAGGGCGGATCCAGGGGGGGGTCATGGAGGTTATGACCCCCCCCCCATTCAATTCTCTATCCCACGATGCCAAAACGAATTCTCTGGCTCGAATGGTTCTTGAGAAACTTCGAAAAAAGCAGCGAAAAAATTGCCAACATTTCTCTATCCATGGTTCACTTTCTAAAAAGGCCATTTATTTCTGCCTAGAATGATGTACAATTGAGCGTTCTTGCTCAATTTGCCTCCGATAAATGAGCAAAAACGGGACGGAAAACATGGAATTTTGATGAATGAGGGCTTTCATTTGAAATTACCTTGATTATAGTATATGTATTATTAAATATAAATGATTACATAAAACATGATTTTGATACAAACTTGGTGTTGGTGTATTTACCACTCGCACTTTTTTCCTGCTACCAACGTTAATATTTCTTCCTTTAGTTTCCGGTAGATTTGAGAGATTACTTTGTGTTTCGGTAACTGTTTCCTTTTTTTCCTTCTGGTTAAGGACTTCTTCCCCAATTGATTTTGGTTCAGTTTTTGATTTACTTGAGACGGTTTGTTTTCCTTTTTTCTTTTGTTTTGGGACGTCCTCCATTATTTTTTTTTCGGTTTTACGTTTTGATTCAATTTTTGAGTTTACTTTTTTGTTGGGTTTTGCATCAATATTTGGTGCAGCTCCATTTTCTGATTTTTCTTCCTCTGTGTTTTTGGCAGTAGACTTTGGTTGCTTTGGAGCTTTTTGTTTTACTTTTGACTCATTGACAATCGGTTTTTCCTCCGGCTCTTTCTTGCGTGGTCTTAACACTCGCCGTTGTTCTACTGGTGAAGTTTCATCTTCTTCAGCCACCTACGTAAAATATTAAATCAGATTAATTAGATAATAGCTTTTATTTACAATTGTTATACAGGGTTGCTCATTAGTGCGTCAAAGTGCGATATCTCAGTAAATATGAAGTTTACAAGAAAATTTGTCCAACGAAAGTTTTTCACGTTTAAAA